TTATGACCTATGTCCCTCTGCTCGTAATATCCAGGGCCAGATGTTTTTTCATTCTTTAGTTGTATGTCAAATAAGAAATCCAGATATTAGGCTCACTTCTTTACTCTTTTTAAAATCCACGCTGGGATCTTGCTTTTTGGCAGACAACTGACCATTCTTTCTGATCTTGAAATTTCAAGTATACAATATCCGACACAGTGATCGCTAATCTGGGACCCTCCGTATTTTTGTATATAGCGTAGAGTTTTTCTGCACTTAAAGGTATACTAAGTTTGTGACAATACTAGATTGGGAGGAGCTGTTGAATCCTTTGAGGATACTGAGGCCTTCCTGGGAGATCTTGATAAATTGGAGGACTGGGCTATCACCAACTGCATGAAGTTTTAATGAGCACAAGTGCTGTATTCTGCACCTGGAATGGACAAGGCAGCCATAGATGTGCAGTACAGACTGGGGAATGAGAGGTTGGAGAGCAGCCCTAGAGAAAGGGACCTGGGGTTTCTGGTGAACATGAGCCAGCAGTGTGCCCTGGCAGCCCAAAGGGGCAACTGTAGCCTGGGGTGCGCCAGGCCTGGGGCTGCCACTGGGAGAGGAGAGGGGCTGTCCTCTCTGCTTTGCACTGCTGTGGTCTTGCCTCCAGCACTGGGTTGCTGTTTGGGTGCCACAATATAAGAAGGACATGAAACTATTAAGAGGTTGTCCGGAGGAGGTATGAATTTTCTCAAGTCAGTCATTCTCAAAAAGGAACAACATTCCTTCGTTAAGAATTAGTGTATTATTTTGTTTGTTAAATGATTTAAATAGAAATCTGAAAACAGTAGAAACATCCAGAATTTATTTAGCTATAAATAAAATTCTAAAATCCCCAGATAGTTGTTAATATTTTTCACTTGACCTTGATTTTACCAGTAGGTATGAGGGATTGTTAAAATTAGGATAATAAGCAATTTCATTATGCCAGCTGCCTGGCTGTTGTGGAGTGTTTCTCTAGGCATTCCAAAAGGATTTTTTTTTTGAGAGAAAGGTGTATGAGGCTGTGGGATTCTACAGAAAACAGCGCAATAGATAAACATGAGTTCAGAGGAGAATGACAGTTCAAACCTGTATGAATTGTTGACTTGAAAAATATTTCAGAGGTTAACATTTCCTAGTGTGATTCTAGTCCAGTTTTTTTGTCTGGTGCTTCCTGCCTAGGTGTATTTTCTACCCTTACAAATGATGTCAAACCTTCCAGTCAATTTTTGTGTTTTCAGAAGTCTGACATCATTTTCCCTGCGTGGTTTTGATCTGATGTGTCTTAATTTTTTTATTTTTATTTTTCCTTCTTTCTCTTTTTTTTTTTTTAATTCTTAAAAACATGAGATTGGAAAGATGAGGATTGTTGCTTTAATGATTTACCTTGAGGCCAGAGTTAAGCCATATTCCATGCACCCATCTAGTAGCTCATGATGAATTGGTTCTTTGCACAGACCTCAGCTACCATGTCTTTAGCACAGTAGCAGCGTATTTGTTACTGATTTTGAAGAGGAATAATGTAGCACCACTGCCTGTTTCTAAAAGTAAGTATTGTAGACACCAGTCTTTTCTGCAGAGGTGATATGAATCTGCTATCATTGATCTTGTTAGATTACTTAACGGGAAAAAAATCAAAGTGAGCAATATGTGGAGTGGTAAACTTGCAAAACTGGCAGTGCATGCTATTGCAGGCTTGCTGAGGCAGGTGCCCTGGTGCACCCTGTCTGCAAGGAGCAGATTTGTGCACCACCAAAAAGAAGCATTGAACTGTCAATGTTTATACGTGCTAGCAAATATTTTAACACTGTATTGTGTGTCCAGTGTTAAAACTGCATGGCAGCTTGTCTAGCTGTATCATACATCTGTAAGGGAAATGAAATCCTGCACCTCCAGGTCCAAGAATAAATCCAAGCAAGAATTAAAGGGTTTGAAAGAATCAGTGATGTTAGTTGTCAGCAGTAATAAGCTCTGTACCTTTTTAGAGGCCAGTCATTTGGTAATGCTTTAGTCACAAGTACGTGATTTCTTCTGAGCCAAGGCCAGCTGCATATTGTACTGTTGATTTTCCAGCAGGTGTGGAACATCTTGGCCTTTCTTCCACCTCATTGAGAAGGAAAGCATTGGTTATTCTTTCTGAGTTGCTCTGCACTGGGGCTGGACTGTGCAGCTAGACAGTTTGCAAGAAGAATCTAGCAGTGCATACAGGAAGGGATGAGATTTTCCAAAGATATCAGAGTTATATTGCACTGTGTTGGATTGAGAGAGTGCTGGGGGATGTCTGGCAGTTCATCCACTTAAAGCAGCAAATTCAAGGTATAGTTCTGCCTTGGGCTGTTCATTCTTACACCTACAAAATCCCCTGGCGCTTTTCTGGCTCTAGTTTGCTCTCCTACCGGGTACAGAAGCAGACAGGTAGATGCCCCCAGGCTTCACCAGATGTTTGTGTATTATAGAGCCTCATGGTTAGTCCCCTTTGTGGATGGCATGTGTAGACTGAGGAATACTTTGCTGTCCTGGTGTTTGAAGAACTTGCATAATATTTAGACTTGTATGTGGAAATACACTTTTTGACTGGGAATGGCACAAAGAGACTTTGTGGCAGTGCAGTGCAATTGTTAGCATGGTTTAGTATTGATAAGGTATATAATGTGTGTGTATAAGCCACTAGAAATGTGCTTTGTATAAACCACTTACTTGAATTTTGTGCATTTTGTCTGTTTTGTAAACTAGTCTGACTTATTTTTCTACTTATTAACAATTTTTTCACTCTTCTTGGTTGTGGTTGTTTTTTTTGTTTGGTTGTTTGGTTGTTTGTGACTGGTCAACTGAGTTGTTGATGTTTTGCTCCATATCAGTTGATATCAGTTGATGCCAGTTGATATACATTGATACCAGCCATGTGCCCAAAAGCTCCACAGAATGTGAATCTGTTTGCTTTTGTTTGTACATCTATCTCTTTCATTGTTATCCTGGGTCAGATCCAAGTTCAATGAAGCTTGTGTGGTGTGTCCCTTCTGGGTAATTTCACAGTTTAATGTGTGTCCTCTCAAGAAAACCCTTGAGACATGGAGGAGGATGTTTATTGTGGAAGCAGGGAATTGTGACAATCCTCTGTACAAGAGCTTCTCTAGTATTAATATTGACACTTTTGATTATCATGACTTCTTTCTAGTGCTTAGGAAATGCAATAAGCCACACGTTTTTGAAATTGTGTTCACTAAATGTATTACACTGCATAGCTCACACTGTCAGTCCCATCATAAATGTGTTGATCCTTGTTGCTGTTTGAAATAACAATCTTAAATAAGCCTTATATTTTCTGAGGAAGTGATAGAGCATGTTCTACTCTGGCCAATATTTTGAAGGGCTTTATTCCTGTATGTAGGTATTATCTCTCAAATAGTTTTCAAGTCCATTTGTATTGCCAGTACTAGAGTAAGCCATGTATTTGTGAATGCTTATGTCCATATATTTGTGGCAATAACTTAAAAAAATAATTAAAAAAATGCATATATGTTGATGTGGGAAGCAGGGAACTCTTTGCTGCTTGCCTTAGAGCATGTCTGTTTTATTGCATGTTCAGCAACTAAACTCAAACCAGCATCTTTCTGCTGGGGAGAAAGGCTGTGTTGTGCTGCAGAGCTGCTTTCCTGTCAAAATCAATACACAGATTTCTTCCTAAATGCTTGTTTATAAAAGTAATCATGGAAATAGAATCTCAAAATGTTTAATTATGTCATTTTACATCTTTCCAATATATTGTGAATGTATTTACAAATGTTTAGCAGGTGATGCAAAATACAAAGGTTTTCTTTACACATTTTAGTAACTGCGATAAATTCAAAATAGTACATATTAATGTTGGAGAGAAAAAGAAAATAGTCAGTAGGAAGAGAAATGTGTATGGACTAGCTAGACCAGGAGAAATGTTTTGCAAAAACACTAAATCCCCCCCAATCCTTACAGAATACCAAAAAGGCTAATACATATATTTTTAATTAAAAAATAGAATTGTATTTTCTTGCATTAACAGAAATTTCTACTTTTCCATGATCTTGTATCACCATTTGGAAGTCACAGTTCTTCCATGAATAATCACTTCATGTAAGTGTTGGAAAGAAATGACCAGTTTCTAATAGCTGTGTAAAAACTTAGTGGTTTTTAATTGGAGTTGGTGATTTGGAAAATATCCTGTCAGCTATCTCTGCTTCCCAGCAGGGAGATGTGCGGGTGTTCTTAAGCATACAAAGTTTTACTCTTTGAGCTGTGAATATTGGAGGTCACCTAAAAATAAGTCATTACTGCGGATTTCATATTTCCAAAATTTCATGTTTTTAAGTCAGAATCAACAAGCAGATTCCACGAAGTAGCATTAGCATTTACATATTGATATTTTTCCTCAAACAAATATCCCCAGGGTAGCTGACACTGATTCTACATCCTGCTAAAGCTATTGCACAGAAATGCTATTTTCGGTTTTCTGCTCTTTATAACATTATATTCTCTCTTCTTCATCTGGAAATCAGAAAAAGCAAACCAGAAGTCTTTGTTTCTCTGTAATAAGAACCTAAAATACAAAATTTAATGTTAACCTTTATCTGTGCATTACAAATTTCATTTTGAAATTTGGATCTTCTTGCTTTTTATCCACGGCGTGGCTGAATCTCAGTCTTGGACCTCAGAACAGTGTGGCGAATGAGAGCTTATGATCTGAGACATCCCAAATGTCTTTTTAATTAGTTTTTATTACACAGCTCATAGCTTTTCCAGTGTGCAACCACGTTGATTTCATCACGTCTTTAGTCTTTCATGGTTGCTCTGGTGATGTGTAGCTGTCTTCCTTTCTAGTGCTGTGGACCAGCTTTGATGCTTGGTTTCCACATCCTCCAAATGACATATATAGGGCTGCCATATTTCTGCCCCTTTTTTTTTTTTCCCCTCTTTTTTTAAATTGCTTTTTTCATATTATTTTTTCTTTCTTTCAGCCTCCACTGGAGCTTTGCAGTCTGCCGTTCAAAGCCTGAACAAGAGCTCAGCACTGTGCTTTTTCAGGTATGCTTCTTTAAATACACTTTCTCATCCAGGGGGGTTAATAGAAGGAGAGAATCTCCAGAGGGTCTTTTCCTCTTTCTCTTCTGCTGTCCTTGTGGTTTGTTCTCGTAGCGAATCTTTTTTTTAATCTTTACTAATTGATTGGGTTGGGAGAATCATTTGTACAGTTTAAGAAAGATTGAGGCTTGCTTTTGCTGTCCTCAGTCACACTGCAATAGGCATGTCAACATGGCAAAATAATTTGAGTAGTTCGTGGTGTTTTTTCCTTCAGTTGATCCCGATATTTTCTGACTTCCAGCATGAGTGCACAATTCTAACCCTAGTGCTTGAGAGCTTTCTGCTATTAATCTGATTGCTATTACTGATGTGCTCAAAAACAGAGGGAAGCTTAAACATCCCTGAGTCCATTCACAGTGCTCTGAGTCTGATTTCAAAATTGGAGCAGGAGATGAACCTTAAAGTTTAGAATCTTTTACTTGCTTTTAGAGCTTCTAAGCAAAAGGGGGAAATCCAGTATCAAGAAAAATGGAGAGCATGTCTTATATTGAGTAGCTTTGTTCTCACTTAGTACAAAGAAATCACTTGAAACCCAGTGAGTCGGGAGTTGTATGAGTATGGCAGTTTGTACCAATGATCATAAAATTCTCTAAGAGTTACTAGAGCACTTGCAGCATTTAGTTGAGGAAAGAAAAAATCAATAATCAATGTCTGATGCATCATGTGTCAAATAAGCAACACGCTTCACTAATATATGGTTTTAATTCCACTCTGTAGAAGGCATTTTGCATTCGTCTGTTTCTTATCACCAGATTCAGCTTTAGAATGTAAATATGCATTGCGTGGGGTCTTAAATTAATGGTTATCGCTGCTGTTTTTATTTGAAATAAAAATGTTAAGTCTGAGAGTACACATAGCAAATTCAGATTGAAATAATCTCAAAACCAATGTATGTTATTGAGGAGGTTCAGATATGTTCAAGATATGTTGTGGTCTGAAATTCAAAGCTGTAGTGCAAAGGCTCATGCTAGGAGTATTGAAAGCTTTGTAGTTGCTCAGTTTTTGTAGTCAGCAGTTGATCTACACTAATACCACAATCACATTTCATGTACTTACCTTGCTGGTGGCATTTCATATGGGATTTATTTCCATCTTCTTAGAGAATAAACTTCATGTTTGGTGTTCGTGCAGATGCTCCACAAAGTCTGCAGTTGTCTGGGAGACATACTGTGTCTTCTATAAGTATGAAAGATGGAGTCCGTGATTTATGATAATGACAACATTCGGCCTTGGATGTGGTGACACAGCCAGCCCTCCTAAATGTTGTCTTTTTAGAGGATGCATGGAGACCAGAGCAGATCAGAATCATAGAATGACTGAGGTGGAAGGGACCTCTGGAGGCCTTCTGGTTGCCCAGATTAGTGGCAAGCTGGCACTAGCAACTGAGGGAGTGTCCCCTTCATTGTAGAAGCTTGGCTCCCTGACAGTGATGGGGATGGTAGGCTGACCAGAAGAGGTTACCTTTACATGCCAAGCATTTGGGCACATGAAAGAACTGACTCCACATCTCCTCACCTGAGGCTCAGTGCTTTGTTTGTAGCATCTCTTGATTCTTCTGTCTTAGAGAGCTTGGTTTTGTGATTTTGAAATTTTTCTACATCTGCCTTCTCAAAAAGTTCTCTGATACTCATTTCTAAATATGTAATCATTAATGAGGATCAAGCCATAGCTTTCAACTCAGGAGACTTGTATCCAAATTCTAGGCTTGAATCAAATTTATTTTATTTACTGGAGAGAGGTGAGCTACTAACATTGCTGTGTATCATATATGAGAAGAGGATGGATATCTAGGTAATGGTAAAGTAATCTGGGGGGGGATACGTGCAGAGAAATAAGCCAATCTATCTAAACAGTCCAATGCACTTCTTAGGAGAGGGTCAGCAGTGATCCTAGCTTCAGAACTTCTTTTGCCTGTCCCTATACTCCCAGTTACTGGGGGTTGTTTGTTTGTTGGTTTTTATTGGAGCTGTGATTTCTCAGCCCTCCTTCTGCTGCTTCCATCTCCACTTGATTAAACACGCCAGTGCAGTGGTCATGACTCAACACAGCTTTTCTTTTTTTTTAAGACACTGAGATTTTTATGATGCTGCTAAAGATGTGGCCAGGAATAATTTCTGTTGTAACTTCATTAGGGTCCTCAAATACACAGAAAACCATTTAGTAAGAAGAGCCTGGGCAATTCTGACTTTGTAAGTGCAGCTTTTTAAAGACACTTGTAGTGAAGTGTCATTACGTTAAATGTCACTAATAGGAAACAGACTCAATGTATTTTAACAGCTAACATTTCAACAACTGTAGTAAATACATCCACACAAATGTGCAATCACACTGTGAATGTATAACATAGAATTTGGGTTATACAGCTTTACTGTATTGATTGCAACAAGACTGGTATTTCTGACCATGTACTTAAAGAAATCTAAAATCTACAGATGCAGTGGTATGCATACCTCTAACTTTCTTTCTTGTCTTCCAGCAGCGTGTATCTTTAGAACTGAGGCTGGAGGAAAAAGGAATGAAATAGTCTGTGGTATGGGAAAATGTTCTCTTATCTAGAGAAAAACATAGCTGTACCAGTCTAAAATAAAAGATATGATTTAAAAGAAAAAAAAAAAAGGAAAAAAAAACCACTTGATTTGTTTATACATCATCAAAACATTTTAGCTTTATAGCTTATTTTGGAAAAAATAAATGTTCGCTGTTTCATGTATTTGAAATTTGGCTGTTTATAAATGGTTAGCCCAGAACAGTTATGGTGCAGAAATTAAGGAGCCATGCTGATTTTACTGCAGCATTATGTCATGTTATAGAAAAGGATATTTAGAGCAGACACTTGACAAACAACACCCCACAGCTAATCAGAAGAGTGACTGAAAGTCCTCCATTGTCAGAATGGGGCCACACTGTTGTATTCCACAAGGTGAACATTGCCATTTTTCTCATATTATTGCTTTCAGCCATAACCAGTTTGTAATTGTGCCTACCTTATTACCTTTCTGTGTATTTGTAGTATCAGTAAAAGATATTCAATTGCTGTGTTTTAATATTAGAGTGAAACAGTTTTTTGTTTGTGAATGTAGTTTATTTAAAAAAAAAAAAAAGAATTTTCCATATAAGAAGATACCAAGCTGTTAAACTTGAAAAGGCTACAAATCAGTATAATCAATATAACTTATGTCTTTATTTGTAAAAATGTGCATTACAAGAACTGCTCCATATACTTATGCACTATTTCTTTCAAATGTACTTTCATAGACCGTAAGAAACTTCAGAAAGATGCTAGTTCTGAAACATTGAGAATAAATGTTTTAAAAGTTTTCCTTACCAATTAAATCTCTCATTACTAAAGGGAAGGAATTTTTAAATCTGAAATATCTTCTCCATTTATAGTAGCTCTTCATGGTGTCTTGTTTTTTCACAGTATAAATTGCTGGGGTTGTTTCTCTTCCGGGCTGTATTTGTTGACTCTGGATCTTTGTGTGCTTTTACATTACTGGAGTTTTGTAGGCTTACGAAATGCAAGAGAATGTCTAACTGCAGCTATTTTCATTGTGGGTTTATGGCTTTTTAAATAAAAGCTGTTTATAGCTATGATATGATCTTCCTTCAATATATTTTGCATTGCAAACGGTTTCAGAAGACATTCTCAATAAACATAGTCTAAACATGGCAACTTGAGATTTCAGAGAGTTTGGCCTTATATGACAGAGTCTGGTGAACTTTTTCCACCCCACAAAAATGAGTTGGCAGTAGCAGCTGATGTCCATTTGCGTACATGAGATCAGAGGTATCTCATCTTCTGAGAAATGGGAGACTGCATCAATTGCCCAGCCTCCAAACTGGGGTAAGTTTCCCACCTCCCAGAGGATTATTGAGTATTCTTGGGTGGCTCTTCCTGTTTCAGCCAGAAGCCATCCTACCTCCTAGAAATTAATTATGCTGGAGCAGTGTTACTAACCTGGTTTTCACACCAAGAACCCTGTATGAGATTTCTTACTCTTTCTGTAATTTAAAGAAAGCTTGCAAATATTTGTTTCAGTGGAAAATTTTTAGAAGAAGTGGTGGAGAAGAGTCAGTCTTTATGTGCAATTTAGAGAAGTTTAAGCACTTGCTGTGGAGGTCGTCTTGCAGTTGGCATTCCAAATGAAGCAGAGGCAGAATCATTTTCTGTGATATCCTTGTTAGCCCCCACTGCGTTTTGGGGGCCTGCAGCATGCTCAGAGGACTCATGCTGGGTTAAGCAGTGTTAATGAACAAAGACAGGCAGGAAAATCCATGGTTCATCTAGAGCTTGGGAATTAGCCATCAGGCTTAGTTAGCCATGTGCATGCCCATTAATGTCAGTAACAGGACTGCTCCCATGCTGAGCGGCAGCTGTGTGCAGGGCATGCCTTGAGCATCCCTCTGCTCCTGTGTGTTTCTTCTAGCTTCTCCCAGCTCCTTTCCATGGGAGTTAACTGTGGGAGGTGGGGACGATGTCTAGGTTTTAATATGTTTGGTGTTCAGGGTGTAGCTGGAGTCAGGAGAGCTCCAAAGTTTTGGTATGAGAAATTGCTGTCAAAGGAGCAAGTGCTCTACTAACGAGGGTCAGTTTTGGGGGAAGGGATACTTAAGAAGTTCCTGAGCCCGATTGCTGGTTGGGTGACTATTGCATGGATCCTGCCTGTGAGCCATGTCTCTGTGTGAGCGTTGGACTGAGGGTGCTCTGGGTGTATCTTATGCATTTTTGCAGACAGATTATTTTGATTTTTCTTCTTCTCTAACACATGTGATTTGTACTGAACCAGTTATGTATGGAAACCACAAAGGTTTGGGTAGCTTCAAATATGGCTTGCTCTTAAGATGGGCTTGTTAGGAATTTCCACAGATCTCAGGTGCAAATTAATCTGAAGCGTTCTATTTAAAATGTTTTTTTTCAACATCTTAATTAAAACTGTTTTGTT